GGGGGGTGGTGGTCTGCCACGGAGGAGGAATGCGTCGAGGAGGCGGGTTCGGGTACCCGCAGCTTTTGCTGGGGCAGCTTGGGAGGAGGAGGAAGCTGGGTTCCCTAAGTGCCGGTTGGGCAACAGAGAAGGCCGTTTCCCGAAGCGTCGGTCCAGCGGTGGAGGAGGCTGGGGACCAAGCAGCACTGGCTCAGCGGTGAAGAAGGCCAGGTCCAGCAGTGGGAGGCTCAAGCTTACAGCAGATGTCGTCAGGAGGCAGGCTGGGGAGCTGCAAGTAAGAGGACCACACTGTACTGGTAAAGGGACCCTGCAGAGCCAGCATAAATTTTGTACAGCCCACCCGAGAGTCTCAGGTGGGCTCTGCAGGGTCTCAGGTGAGCTCTGTGTGGTCTTTGGTGAGCTCTGCAGGGTCTATGGTGGGCTCTGCAGGGTCTATGTTGGGCTCTGCAGGGTCTCAGGGGGGTTGTGCAGGATCTGTGGTGGACTCTGCAGGGTCTCATGGGAGCTGTGCAGGATCTGTGGTGGGGTCTATGGTGGGCTCTGCGTGGTCTCAGGGGGGCTCTGCAGGATCTGTGTGGGCTGTGCGGGGTCTCAGGTGGGCTTTGCAGCCTGAGATCCTGCAGAGCCCACCAGATCCTTCACAGCCCTCCACAACCCACCATAGACTCTGCAGATCCCACTATAGACCCTCCGGAGCCCACCATAGATCCTGCACAACCCACTATAGACCCTGTAGAGGCCACCACAGATCCTGCACGGCCCACCTGAAACCCCAGCTTTTGCTAATAGCGGAATATGTCTAAAGCTGGATACAGCGTGTGACCTGTATCCAGTGACAGGTTATGCAAAAAGTCCTAAACAGGAAGGGGTGGGGCAAATGTAGTATGGGGGTGCCTGAGTTTCGTCTTGCCTAGGGCAGCCCCAAACTAAAATACACCACTGCGTACATCGGCTGCCCTCGGCCGCAATCAGTCAGCCGAACATGCTCTGCATGTTCGGCTGAGCCGAAGTGCAGAAGGAGTTCGACTCAGCCGATCCAACATCTGGATCGGCTGAGACGAAGCTCCGGCAGCTCAATCGCTGCCATTCGTCCCTATTGTTATAGGGGCTGAACGGCAGTGAGTGAATAGCCGAATGCCGCCGAGTGGCATTCAGCTTGGCTATTCTGCTCGCTACCTCCGAGGTATATAACATAAATGAATGAAAAAGAAAAAACGTTTAAAAACTATTTTAAAACATGTAAAAAAAAATAGGAAAATTCAGAAAGAAGAAAAAAACAACGCACGCCGACCACACACGAACGGCATTCGGCTCGGCTATTCTGCTCGCTACCTCTGTGGTAGCGAGCAGAATAGAAAAAAACGTAAAAAAATGGAAAAAATATATATAAATGTTTTTCAATATGTTTTACATATTTTTTCTTCATGGTGGGCTGAAGATGAGGTCAATGGTCAAGGATCACCTGTAATAGTGCTCTACTGTTGGTTGCAATCAGTCAGCTGCAGATCACTATAATGGTGATCTGCTGCTGCAGGGATATGCTGAACAGAGCTGCTTTAGCTCTTCCTGAGCTTTAAAACTGACAGATATTGTTGTGACATCATACACAATGCCACCTTACTTCTTTTGTAAACACAAGATGGGCCTCAGCTGCAATGGTGTTGCAATTGTGTGCAATTTTGGTGTTCTGCAATGTGGATGCGTTATCCGCTATTGTATTAGTGTCTTGAGGTGCTATTCAAAATGTGTTAACATGGTTGATAGGAGAATTAATCATATTCCATTATTCTTAGTTTGTATATATTTAATATTTTGAACAAGTAAAACTGTGCTTTTTAGAAGGTTCTGAATAAACTGGCCTTAAACCGCTTTCACTTGTTCACAGCTGCATTCTTGTACCATTAAAACTATCGGGTCTATTCACTAAGCTGCCGAGGGCAGCCGAGTGAACAACCGACCCCAAGTGAAGTGAGCCGAACACTGTTCGGCTATTATAGGTACAAGCTCCGTGTCAGAATAAAGAAAAAAAAAGAAACAGCAGTGTTTCTCTCCTTGGCGACCGGGAGCAGGAGACTCCCGGAGCCCAGGGAGAGTTTGCTGTTTGGAGTTACCTGCTAACCAGGGACGCTGACTTCTCTGCAAGTGGCCGGAGCCAGGCGTAAGATCACGGCTGGCTCCGCCCAGCTGTCAGAAGCAGGCTGACTCGACTGAGCCGCTCGGCCACGTTGGGGAGCTGTATGGGCTATTGTGAATAGCCCGTACAGCACCCCTTCGGTACTACTGAACCTGGTCCTGGGGCCGAAGCTAGCCGAAGGATCGGCCAAAGCTACGGCTAGATCCTTTGGAAGCTTCGTGAATAGACCCCTATGTCTTCTTATCCCCTTTCCTGTAACCACCTGTATGACCAGTCTATGACCCATAGTATCATATATTATATACATGTGCATGATTTTTATTGGTTTATGCTCTGCCATCCATTTCTTAGTTTGTTTTTTTACGTATTCCTTGTTTTACAATAAACCTTTGAATATAAAGTAAATACACAATTTGGTGTGACTCTTTATTCCCAAGTACTTGTTTGAAGCTGACCGCACAATCAAATCCCAGGGAACTCCAAAATTAGAACCCTAACAATTGTGAAATGCACATTTTATGGTGCATTAACACAATGCATAAGTGTGAATGGCCCCCTAGATTTCAACTATTTATTTTATAGAAATATCAGACAGAATCAGAATTCTGATTAGCCATTATGGGCAACAGTTCCATTTTTAATGAGCCAGGCCCCATGTGTTTATATTTCTTTTGAATTATTATAAAGGAGGTTATTTAACCAAGTGACTCTTGCATGTGTCTTACCAAATTACTTTTTTTCTAGGTTCTTTTCTACATATACATGTCAAGATGCATGAAGATAAATTTGTTGTTAGAAACCATAAGATTTTTTTAGAACTCTATTTATGTATACGAGCAGTTTAGAAGTTCATTGAGTTTTTCCAAGATGTTATGATGTCATATTTGTAAAGATTAAAATCACTTCATATCTCATTGCTTTTGTGAATTGTTCCCATACTGAGACATGTTTTGAAATTAATCGCTTCAACTAAAACCTGTCATCTTATCTAATTATCCTTAAGAGCCAGTTCATACCTGGAATGCACTGCTGGAATGCACAGCAATCGCACACTACGAGAAATGTTTTGAAATGAATCTCTTCAACTAAAATCTGCAAGTCACCTCAGCTGATTATCCTTAAAGTGGAACTCCAGAATTTAGAAAAATCTCTGTGCCCTGTGTAATTAAATTTGACCTCTCCTGAAGTAATTATTATTATTATTATTATTATTATAGTTAAGGATTTATATAGCACCAACAGTTTGCGCAGCACTTTACAATATAAGGAAGACATTACAGTTACAATACAATTGAAGACAAGATGGTTAGGAGGGCCCTGTCCATGAAAGCTTACAATCTAAAAGGGAGAGGAAAGTAATACAAAAAGTGGCAGCTGTGTGCAAATAAAAGAGTAATAGTTCAGCGGTTAGGTTGAAGCAGGATAGGCTTCTTTGAAGAGATAAGTTCCCAGGGTTCGCCTAAAGGCAGACTGAGTAGAAGATAGCTGGACAGGTTGGGTTAGGGAGTTCCAGAAGATGGTAGTGACTCTAGAGAAGTCCTGGAGGTGAGCATGGATGGAGTTGACAAGGGAGCAAAAGAGCAGGAGGTCTTGGGAGTAGTAGAAAGGCTGGTTCGGGTGATACTTTGAGATGAGGTTGGAGATATACAGTAGCTGGGGGCAGAGTTGTGGTTGGCTTTGCAAGTGGCTGTTAATATTTAGAATTGTATTCTTTGGTTGATTGCAAGCCAGTGGAGGGATTGGCAGCATTCATTATATATTGAAGGGGGCATAGCCTGTGTAGAAAAGCCAATGATAGCTGGCCATTTTTAACAGTACCCTGGTTCAAATACTACTATACGGTATACTGTGTGGCAGAATCAAAATAATTAAAAGTCAAAGACCAATATGCATTATTTACTAGTAATTGCTCTTAATACTGAACTCCAAGAATACATAAAAAACAAGGGGACAAGCAACAAACAGTACAAAAAAACAGAGGCTCACAGACCCTTTTTTTAAAAGAACTTTTTGAAAAGAAGCAAATGGTCTACAATATGCAAGGCCGAAGTCACTGCAACTAACCATAAATCTGAAATTCCTGTAGACAGTATGTCTCCTAACTTGTTTTATAAATTTCTTTATAAATTCTTTGCGACTGCAGCCCAACAGCTGTGCTTTAACTACAAATCCCATAATTTCTCTGCCTCTGCGAGTTATGCCTGTAACTGTCAGTCTTGCAATGCCTTTATGGGACTTGTAGTTCCACAACAGCTGGAGGGCCGAAGCTGCCCGCCCCTGCTGTTAGGATTCAAGTAAAGTGTATCTGTATATGTCTGTATAGTGTTGCTTAACTTCTAGGACTAAGAAACACTAAGAGGATTATTCACTAAGGAGCCGTAGGATCTAGCCGTAGCTTCGGCTGATCCTTTGGCTCGCTTCGGCCACTGGAGTCCTTCGGTTCAGTCGAAACAAAGGGCTGCTGTACGGGCTATTCACAATAGCCCGTACAGCAGCCGAAGGCAGCCGAGCAGCTCAGCTGAGCCTTAATGACAGCCGAAGCATGGAGACAGGTGCGGTCGGGTTGGCGGGCATCATGCCCCCATCCCCGCAACCAATGCCTCAGGGCTTGTGGGGAAGAGACCCTTGTCCCCATCAGCAAGGGGACAAGGTGCTTTTTCAGGTGAGACCCAGGAGAGGGCAGAGCATGTTCGGCTGACCGAAGTGCAGCCGAAGTACGGCTGATTTTAGCTGGTGTACGGCTGAAATCAGCCGTACTGAGCTGAAGTGAATAGCCGAACGTCTAAGTATCACATGATATTATTAATAATAATGTATATGCTAACTAATATGAACAATATGAACTGTATGAGTTAATATCAAAATTCCACAACAGCCCCAGACTTTCTTCTCTTTACATCCCTTTGAGTCTCAAAGGATTTTTGTTTGGAGATATGTTTGTTCACTTTATTCCTTTAATTGTTTGCAGTCTTCCCTAACGGACAGTATTATTCATTGTTTTTTTTTTTTTCAGAGCAAATAGTGCTATAATGTGGCAACATTTTTAGTTACATATACAGTATATATATACTAGTCTGCGGGCCTGGAGTGCAGTGGAGGATCACAAGCCTCCAGTATCGGAAAAGGAGCCACTGAGGGTC